TTAGTTAATCAATTCAGGCACAAAGGTTGGGATGGTTTTAATCCCATCTCTTAGTTGGACTTTGAAAGATGGTAGATTACACCCTAAGGTTTCGTTTGATTATTGTATTATAAAAAAATAGATTATATTAGGTAATACAAGTTAATTTTGTATATGTTGATAAAATACAAGATTAAATATGAGATAAAAATATTACGCATTGTAATCCAGTGTTTGGTAAGACATTAAATTAATAATGGGATAATGGAATAACAATTATATATTGACTAAAAATCCATCAATCTTGTATAGTTATTATTATTTTTGTTTATCTATTGGGTAAAATAATAAATTTATAACTTAATACGCTTGAATTGGACTATAATATCACCTCCACATATGGTATTATAATCGGTTTAATAGTACAAATACAATATATTTATGGGCTTGTTTGGTTGTCGTATTAAAAATTGATGGATTAAATAAAATAATTCAGTCTAATACAATACGTATGGACAAAAGACAAGATTAAATAGCGTATTAGAATAATACATAATTTTATCTAGTACTTGACAATATACAACATAAACGTTAAATAGTAGTTATTTAATCTAATCGGTTGTTTGGTTAAAAAATTATTTCATCGTATTAATATTGAATTAATAAAAATACCCTCTAATTAGTGTTTGTTACATTGATAACAACTTAATTTTATTAGTTGAGGGTTATGATAGAAAATGTGTAAAATAATACGTTTAAGTCGGATTATTATACCACCTCTCTTGGTGGTATAAAAATTCCTTCATAATACAGGTGTATTGTATAAAAATATAATAAATATAAAATTAGTATATATTTTTGAAATTAATACGGTATCAAATTTACTTACCAAACAAAGTATTAGATCCGATTAGAGAGTTTTAATTTGTTTTGACTCCTTAATACACCCCTTAGTATCGCAACCAAATGACTCCTATTTGAATAAGCAATGTATTATTTAGATAACAATTTAAAATAAAATTATATATGATACAAAGTGTTTTTACAACTAAATACTATTTAAAGTCAAATTAAAGAGTCCTAATCTGTTATGGCTTTATAATTGACCATTTAATATAACAACCAAACTACCCTATACTTCCCATCTCTTACCATAATGCATGCTCCTTTCACTATGAGCTCCCTGCATTTTATAATCTATTTCCATACTCGAGAGTCAGTTGATCTACATAAAAGAAATTGCATGGTCTGATTTGCTCCCACTGAGACACATCCTACCTAGTTTTGGAGGGTTTCAATTCGAGGGAAGAGTTAGAGCTTATCCTTAATTTGAATTTCTTATTTTTTTTAATTCAAACTTAATGCTTAATTATAAGAGTAATATTTTTTTAAGTCCAAGAAATTCCACCCATTTTTTTAATTTGATATGATATGACTTTATCATACGGGTTTACCCCAAGCACATTTTCGTGCGATTTCAAATCAAATGTTTTATCTTGGCTTTTCCAATCCACTATATTTCAATATTCAACCTTTTCATTACTTATATTACAAGCTCGGGGTGTATAAGTGGTGGTGATTGTGGTGTCGACGAAGATAAATAGTGGTGGTGATAGCAACATTGATAGCAACAATGGAGGCGGTGGATGGTGGCAAATGTGGTAGAGTGATGATGATGGTAGTTGGGTGGCAGCGGTTGTGGTGGGGGCGCCAATGATAGCAACAACGGAGGTGGTGGATGTTGGCAAATGTGGACTAATGATGATGATAGTTGGGTGATACAGGATGTGGTGGTGGCAAGATAGCATTGTTAGTGGTGGTGGTGAGAGCAATAATAGTCATGTTGTTACAAGGTATTAACTTAGAGGAAGTGGTGATGAGACAGTAGTGGTAGTAGATGGCGGTGGTGATGGAGGATAGGGATTGGAGGCTAATAGTGGTGTTGGTGGTAGTGATGATGGTGATGGTGGTATTAGCGGTGGTGGGATTGTGGAAAGTTGGAGTGTAAAATTGATTTAGATCAAATTATTTGAAGGTAAATTTATCCATTATAAAACTCTTATAAATTAGAATTTTCAGCATTAAGTGATAAATATATATTTTTAAGAACTGTTTAAAATTTAAAATTGTGTAAATTTTAGTTACCAAACACATTTAAGTGATGTTCAATTTTACGTGTTGAATCGGGTTATCAAATACCACTTATAGTGTTCCATCGTGACTTATATAAGAAAAATCTAGTTATGTCCGAGTTTTACTCGAGTTTTAATAATAGAATTGGTGATAATTAAAATATGTGTTCCATTGTGACCTTTGGAGCAAAGTTCCATACACGGGCAGAAACTTTTTGAAGTGTATCATTCTTATTTTTAATTAGTTAAACTTGATTGATTGATTCATAATCTATATAATAAAATACAAAACTTGATTGATTTGTTGATAATCTATATAATAAAGTATAAAAATAAAAAACATAAAAAATGATTTTTATTTTTTGTGGTTGAGATTATTTTAAATTTTATTTTAAAGTTAATTTAACGGTTAATATTAACTTTCTAAATTTAATAGGGAAAATAGACCCCCTAAAGATGTTTTTGGGGTGATTTTTTTAAGGTATTTCTATAATTTCTAATTTCTTATAAGCACTTTAAGAAAAGAAAAAAAAAATATTTGAAACAACTTATTTTAATTACTTCCAACTAAGTTAAAATTAATTTTATCACTTAAATAAGTAAGTTAAGTAAAAGTAAAAAAAAAAATTTTACTTATTCAAAATCACTTATTTACAAAATACTTCACCAACATCCCTACCGTTACCCCACCACCACCACCATTGCCACCGTCCATCACCACCACAATTTCGCCACCCACATCGATTGTTACCACCACCCACCATTAGGGGTGTCAAACGTGTCGAGTTAAACAGTTACGTGTCGAGTTAAATGGGTAAAAAATATATAAACCTATACACAATACGTTTAATAAACGAGTAAAAAATCTTAACACGAATACAACCCATTTAATAAACGGGTAACACGACATGAATCGTTTAACCCGTTTAATTTTAACAAAATTATATTAACAAATTTTAATACTCCACTTTTTTTTATTGCCAATTACACTTACTTCAAAAAAGATGAATTTTTAGTCAAATCTCAAAAATAAAACTTGAAGGATTAAAAAGAAAAAGCAAGAGTCTATTGTTTTTTATAGGCAACTCAACCCTCCCTATTTCCCCTTATTTTTCAATGTGGGACAAAAACAAAAGACATTGATTTACCTTTGTTTTTGAAATGCTTTTCATCTCCTCTCTTTTGTCTTTGAACTACTACTTTATTTTTATTTTTTTATTGATTTCTTTACTTCTTTTTTTTTGCTAATTTTTTAAAATATTTATTAATTTATTATTATATTAATTTTATTTAAACGAGTAAACGTGTGATAAATGATTTGACATGTCTCATCCGAATATGACTCATTTATTAAACGTGTTTGGTGTGTTAACCCGCTTATTACCCAAATTTGTTAAGATCTTATCAAAAACCGCTTAATTCATATCGATTCGTGTTGATTAATCTTGTCGTGTCAAATTTTAACAGTCCTACCCACCATCACTCGTTGTCGCTCACTACCACCCATTGTCACCCACACCTACCACCACCAATTGCCATAACCCACTATTATCGCCACCCCACTGTCACCCATCCTTACCATATCTACCATCACCATTGTCATTTTGCCATCATCCATCATTATCGTCACCATCCATCACCACCCATCGTCGTCCACCACCACTATCGTCATCGTTTATTACCATAAACCATATCTCCCACCACCATCATCATCACTCCACCATCACCATTACCTACCCATCATTATTGTCGTTCACCACCATTCACACTCACCACCACCACTACCGTTGTCACTTATGATTGTTATTATTATCATTGTCATCTTAAATTCACAATCACCATCACTCTTGTTATTCACGGCTGTCGCTACCACTATAGTCGTCGCCACCAATCACAACCATCACTGTCTCCCACCATCACTATCATTATCACCGTTATTGTTCACCCAACTACAGTCAGTACTTAAATTTATTTTTCTCTTTTTTATGTTTGTAATTTAATTTTAGATGTAAATATAAATATATTTTTGATTAACAATTTTTTTATTAATTTGTGCTTTTAAACACATATAATAACTAATATAATAAATATGGCAGGACCAACCACTTAATTTNCGTCACCATCCATCACCACCCATCGTCGTCCACCACCACTATCGTCATCGTTTACTACCACAAACCATATCTCCCACCACCATCATCATCACTCCACCATCACCATTACCTACCCATCATTATTGTCGTTCACCACCATTCACACTCACCACCACCACTACCGTTGTCACTTATGATTGTTATTATTATCATTGTCATCTTAAATTCACAATCACCATCACTCTTGTTATTCACGGCTGTCGCTACCACTATAGTCGTCGCCACCAATCACAACCATCACTGTCTCCCACCATCACTATCATTATCACCGTTATTGTTCACCCAACTACAGTCAGTACTTAAATTTATTTTTCTCTTTTTTATGTTTGTAATTTAATTTTAGATGTAAATATAAATATATTTTTGATTAACAATTTTTTTATTAATTTGTGCTTTTAAACACATATAATAACTAATATAATAAATATGGCAGGACCAACCACTTAATTTCATTATGGCTTTATTTTTGATATTTTAAATAATAAAACTTGTATGGTTTCTAATTACCAAAGGGAAAAAAAAAAGGCAGATAGGGTAGGGCTGTGTTTCGGCTTATGAGATATGTGATATGCGGTGACAACTCCTTTGAATTTTGTGGGGTCCATCACACGTACATCCTTTGGAGGCGCGAAACGGAAAACTACCGAATAATAGAACTGTTCCNTCTCCTTTGAATTTTGTGGGTTCCATCACACGTACATCCTTTGGAGGCGCGAAACGGAAAACTACCGAATGATAGAACTGTTCTTCTCTCTCTCTCTCTCCTTTGATTTGAGATAGGAGTGCCGCCGCAGTCGATGGAGCTTCGATCCTTACAATCGCCGACTGTAAGCAGCATACCTCGAAGTGGATTGAAAGAGAAGACATTCGTACGCGGTCAAGTTATAAGATTATCCGATGCAAAGAGACAACCAATTGCCAGAAAGCTTAAACTTCTTGATTTCAGAGCTCAAGCTTCAGGTAAATTACAATGCTGCGGGTTTCATTATTGTAATTTATGTTTTTCAGTGATCGTCGATTCTGTTTGGGTCAAAGAAAAATAAAATAGTGGGCTTCCACACTGGTGTTACTGTAGTTACTCACTAGAGTTCAGCATTTCACTCTAGATTATTTTCATTCTTTCTTTCTCTTTCTTTTTCTTTTTCTTTTTTGTCTCAGTTTTTAATTTTACAAGAAACAAGCAAAAGATTAGGGTGGATTTGGTTGAGGACTATTCTAATTTTAGGCATAATTATTATTTTAATTGAATAAGTTATTGCGATTTTGACTGAAGTTTCTCACTCGCAGCACTTATCGGTTGGACCTTGTTTAGGCAATTTCGTCAGAAAAGTGGGCTTTTGACTATAAGGAGATTGAAGGCTTTTTGGCAGAAAAGGGGAAAAGAAAATAAGAAAAAGGCAGACTTTCAAGGGATAGTGTCATTTAGTAAAAATGTAGCTATCCTCTTCTGGGAAATTTAGGATTAATTAATAAATGTGGTATTGGTATTCTACTTGTTGGGAGACTGAGAGGCCATTGATCTAAAATCTAATATACATGTCTGAAAACTATACCCACCTAAAAGCTTAAGCTTATAGGCGCTGAGCCCATTAATAGTATATTAGAATACTTTAACTTACTTTTCTATCCGATATGAGATTCCCACACATGCAATACCTTACACAGTTTATGGTTAACTTCTTTGCATTTGATTTACTGCTAATAGTTAGTATGTTTCCGTCTCTTGGAAGAGAGAAAATTTCTACAAAAGACGTATCATTTTTGGAGTTTCATGGGAAGTGTACAGGAAGTTCATTGAAGATGTTTACGAAGGGCCTGAATAGCATCTGGTAGTGGCTGGTAAATGTATTATTAAAAATATATATTTTTTTTGAGAAAATAATGTCCAGTGTTATACATGCATCAAATATGCATAGTATGTGCTTATCAGCTAATAAAGGGAAAGAATATGCTTCTATATCTTTCTAAGCCTTTCTTTTAGTGAGTTGTATGCGTTCTTCAACCCTCTAATGTTCATTGGAGGTGTTCTGGACTGGACTATCTTTCGGCAATTTCTTTTGTACTCTTCTTTTTCATAATACGATATGGTTTCCCTTTATCCATCCATCAATGGCAAGTATTTTTTTTATTTTNGCAATTTCTTTTGTACTCTTCTTTTTCATAATACGATATGGTTTCCCTTTATCCATCCATCAATGGCAAGTATTTTTTTTATTTTTTTTGTTTTATCTTTCTCATAACATGCTTCTAATTTGGTTAAGTGTGGTTCTAACATGCATTTTTGATGTAATAGCACCACAATCTTTGATTTCTTTTTCTAATCACATGAAACTAACAAATTACCATCATTTGGTCTTAAATGTCGCATATCTAATTTTTGAGATCCTTTCTTCTGCCTTGCGGTGTTATTAGATCATAGTGAGATTCCTGGACATATTACCTATGTCTGCACTGTTGGTTGAAGAAGTAATCAGAATATCTGTTGATGTAAGAATTTGATGTTTAAAATCTTAGGGACTTTTAGAAACCTGGGAATTTTCTTGTTATTGTCAAACAAGCCTGTGCAACTTCACTTTAGCAGGAGACTAGAAACACTTCTGTGGTATGTCTCTCTTCTTACGTTATGTTATTACACTTTTTTTTTTTCGCTGAGCCCATTAATAGTATATTAGAATACTTTAACTTACTTTTCTATCCGATATGAGATTCCCACACATGCAATACCTTACACAGTTTATGGTTAACTTCTTTGCATTTGATTTACTGCTAATAGTTAGTATGTTTCCGTCTCTTGGAAGAGAGAAAATTTCTACAAAAGACGTATCATTTTTGGAGTTTCATGGGAAGTGTACAGGAAGTTCATTGAAGATGTTTACGAAGGGCCTGAATAGCATCTGGTAGTGGCTGGTAAATGTATTATTAAAAATATATATTTTTTTTGAGAAAATAATGTCCAGTGTTATACATGCATCAAATATGCATAGTATGTGCTTATCAGATAATAAAGGGAAAGAATATGCTTCTATATCTTTCTAAACCTTTCTTTTAGTGAGTTGTATGCGTTCTTCAACCCTCTAATGTTCATTGGAGGTGTTCTGGACTGGACTATCTTTCAGCAATTTCTTTTGTACTCTTCTTTTTCATAATACGATATGGTTTCCCTTTATCCATCCATCAATGGCAAGTATTTTTTTTATTTTTTTTGTTTTATCTTTCTCATAACATGCTTCTAATTTGGTTAAGTGTGGTTCTAACATGCATTTTTGATGTAATAGCACCACAATCTTTGATTTCTTTTTCTAATCACATGAAACTAACAAATTACCATCATTTGGTCTTAAATGTCGCATATCTAATATTTGAGATCCTTTCTTCTGCCTTGCGGTGTTATTAGATCATAGTGAGATTCCTGGACATATTACCTATGTCTGCACTGTTGGTTGAAGAAGTAATCAGAATATCTGTTGATGTAAGAATTTGATGTTTAAAATCTTAGGGACTTTTAGAAACCTGGGAATTTTCTTGTTATTGTCAAACAAGCCTGTGCAACTTCACTTTAGCAGGAGACTAGAAACACTTCTGTGGTATGTCTCTCTTCTTACGTTATGTTATTACACTTTTTTTTTTTTATGAATGAAAGTGAAAAATTGAACTTCTAATTCCCTGCCCCCCTCTAGATTGCTTCGAAGCATATTACACTATAATTTTGGGTCATCGATGCATTATCCTGTCATAGTTTTTTCTTCTTCTGGTTCACAAATGGGAGAGTTGGAGTCTCTTGGAAATTTAGGTGTTTAACTCGCAAACATGAGATGCTCTGGACTGTGAGTGAAGGCTATTAAGAGATTTGAGTCCTTTAGTTTTTCTTTCTTTTTTTCAGTTTCTTGTTTTGTTTCTAATTATGCCTCTGCGCGTGTGGGTGTGTGTGTGATGGGAATGGGGGGCTGAGAAGTGTTTATCATAAGTAACGCATGTCCATGGGTCTCTGTAAAAGGCACATCCAAATTCAGCTCAGATGCAATTGAAGTGATTCCAAAAGTTGTTGATGTGAAAGATGAAAATCTCGTTTTTGTTGCTGGTGCTACTGGTAGAGTTGGTTCGCGAACTGTAAGGTTACATTTGACTGCTTACTTCCCTGCTATAAAGCAAATGATCCCCAAACTTGGCAGCTGGTTTTAGAAATTGCTGAAAAATCAAGAATTCTTCAGGGAGCTTTTGAAATTGGGATTCAAAGTTCGAGCGGGTGTTCGCAGTGTTCAAAGAGCTGAATCTCTTGTGCAGGTATGCGTCCTTTACTTGTGAAATTTATTTTCTAAATGTATTCTCAAATCGTGGACGTACTAAGCAATATTGTTATTTGCAGAGTGTTAAGAAGCTGGAGCTTGATCAAACTGCTAGTGAAGGAACTCTACGTAAGGGAACTCCAGGCTCTTATTTCCTTACTCCATCTAATTGCTGTGAACACGCATAGATACAACACCTATGAGGATGGAATAATTTTCTTTTTGATGGGATTATCTTTTTTTGGAAGGTTCTGGGATAATGTTGTCTAGCAAATAACATGGTTTGTTTGGTCAGAGAAGCTTGACATTGTGGAGTGTGACTTGGAGAAACGTGATCAGATCGGACCAGCATTAGGCAATGCATCAACTGTTATATGCTGCATTGGTGCCAGTGAGAAGGAGGCATTTGATATTACTGGACCCTACCGAATCGATTATCAGGCCGCGATAAACCTTATTGATGCAGGTAAAGTAGTTTTTTGCTTGGAGATGCCTGCTTTCTCATTTTGGCTGGGCACGTGGTTGCTATATTTTCCATGACAAAGCCACCGTGATTTTCCAAAGTCATGTTAATATCCTCAAATCTAGGTTTTGGATGAACTGAGAAAAGAAAGTAAAATTAGTCTCAACCAGGAAGAATCCATATAAACCAATTTTCCAAATATTGTCTTGACTTTATGGGCTATTTTTCAAGTGTGCAACTAAATCCTTTAATTGTACGGAATCAAATGCTAGAAAATGCATTTCTAATCGATAATGCTATTAAGAAGTTTGATATCAGTGTTGCAATTATTCCTCTGATTGGATCGTGATTGGATTGTTGGCAAAAGCAAAATTTTGTAACGGATTAGGGCATCTAGCAACTGAGAAAGATCAAGTTACCCAAATCTTGTAGTTTTTATTCAGTTTCATGGCCTGGAAAGTAATAGAAACACTACTACTGGAGAACAAAGGAAAGGAAAAAATGAAGGTTTTTTCTCATCATGACAGATTTTGCATTAAATCCTGCACAAGCAATATATTCACCAGGCTGGTTGTCCCTAAATTCCTTGAATATATGCTATCTAGGACCTGGAAGCATACTTTCCGTGTAAATAGCCTGCGGATTCGGATAATTGGATGGTTGAGCTCTGGCTATAAATTTTAACTCTGCCCTGGGCTTGTAGCAATCTGAAACGCTGAACTTAGGCATGGGCAAGCAAGAACTTCATCATCATCATCATCATCCTTTTTTTATTCTTCGTCATGAGAAAATGAGTTTGTACATTGTTTTTCTATTTTATTAATTGGGAGAGAAAGCGAATGTAGTGTCAATTACTATTTCTTATTAAGGATAAAATTTCTTTGATTCTGAACTATGAAACTGTTTGTCTTTAAGCTTAATATGATTCATTTTTAATAGTTTTCTAAACATGCAGCCACCATTGCAAAAGTTAACCACTTTATTTTGCTTACATCATTGGGAACAAACAAGATTGGATTTCCTGCAGCTATTTTAAAGTAAGTCTTAAGAGTTTTTTTGATTTGTTTGACAAGAGGGAGTTAACGAAAAAGGTTAGCTTTTTTGATTTTCGGTTGCTACATTTATTGACTGTCTGTTGCTTGGTTCTATAGCTTGTTTTGGGGAGTCCTGATTTGGAAAAGGAAGGCAGAAGAAGCACTGCTTGCCAGTGATATTCCTTACACAGTGAGTGCTTCTTGGCTTTGCCATAGCAAGAGAGGGAGAATGGGCGTTTAAAATGTGTGTGAACAGGTTTTCTGTTACTCTTGTTTGTGATATTTTAGATAGTGAGACCTGGAGGGATGGAGCGGCCAACTGATTCTTACAAGGAAACTCATAATATCACACTTTCACAGGAAGATACTTTATTTGGTGGCCAAGTTTCAAACCTTCAGGTTTTCTTCATGCTGATGTTTTATTTTCATATAGGATATTCTTCGACCTGTTTTAGCATTCTTTCATTTTGGGTTGTCTGGGACTCTACAATTCTGGGTTAAGTAATAGATAACTTTATATTCTAATGATCCTATTGGCTGTGGAGTTCTAGAATGATGATAACAGATGAATTGACAATATTTTTTCAGGTTTGAAAATTTCATGGACATTTTCCCCAACTACCTTGGGGAGAGAATTGTATTTCTGTATATTGAATGTAATATGGTTGATTATGATACACTGTGTATTTAGCTAGTAGCTGGTAAGATTCCAACAGAGTCGGGATTGATTACGTATATAACCAGTATATGGAATTTATACTTCTGCTTCAATTTCGTGTATTGTGTTGATGATTTCATATCACGAGGGATGAGGCTTTCCTATTTTGTTGATGGATTTAAGAGGGCTGAAATTTATTTGGCAGGAACTAAAATAAATTTTGCTGATTAATTTCAGGTGGCAGAACTTATGGCATTTATGGCAAAAAACCGTGGCCTTTCACATTGTAAAGTGGTTGAAGTAATTGCAGAAACAACGGCACCACTATCTCCCATGGCGGAGCTTCTTGAAAGGATCCCATCCCAACGAGTTGATCCCTATCCATTTAAGAAGGTAGTTTCCAAGACAAACTTCCAAACGGACTAACTCCACAACTTTCTATCATGAATGTTTGAATATATCCATAGTCCTATATTGATATAGTAGATAGTGTAAAAGAAAAAAATGACATATTTTGTCTAGTTAGGGAACCCTCATAGAACCCTCTTATAATTGCCCTGCTTCTTGTTTTCTTCTTCGGTAATGACCCACGTTGCACTTTTCCCACATTTAATTTAATATCTTAAAATGGATGCCTAATGCACAAGGCTCCTGCCTTGGCGGGTTCTAAAGAGGTTCAGATGGATGCACCCTTACCTCCACATGTGGAGCTGTTTCGGCGACTCGAACCTTGACAACCTGATCACAATGAATCACCATTATCACTATGCCAAGGTCATCCCTCATTTACTTTACCATCTGTAAACCATAAATTAGAAACACCAACTGTATACTACAATAAACTAGTTATTGGAACTGACATTCTTCTTACTTGGTTCCTTTTTCTACTTTGATGAGACAAAGTACAAGGCCTTAGCAAATCATTGTCGCCTCCATGCTAGCCGTGCCTTTATTATTTATACTGGATCAAGGTAGATATGAAGGCTGAAGAGAATGGAAAAGCAAACATATTTATGTGTTCTTAGTTTGTAACTAAAAACATGAAATTGCTGTAGTCACTAAATAGAATGTTAGAATTTTAAATAGGGACAATAGAAACAATCTACTGTGAAAAGGAGGAAGAATTCTATAATAAGGGGAAATTTAATAATGTAACTTGTTCCTTTTTGTTTAAAGAAGTGGGATAAGCGGACCATTCAAGAGAAAGGTGGAGATTTGTGGCAGAATTTCCTTCAGCTATTAAAGTTGAGAGTCAGAATGTGCTTTGTCCAACATCAAAGTTAAGGACAGGAAATAATTAGAAGTGATGCTTGAACTGAAAAATGTAGGTAGCTTAATCAAATAATGAAGTCCAACTGCAAATAGCAAAGAGAAACATGGGTATTGTAGCACAAAATATAAGCTGNGGAACTCCAGGCTCTTATTTCCTTACTCCATCTAATTGCTGTGAACACGCATAGATAAAACACCTATGAGGATGGAATAATTTTCTTTTTGATGGGATTATCTTGGAAGGTTCTGGGATAATGTTGTCTAGCAAATAACATGGTTTGTTTGGTCAGAGAAGCTTGACATTGTGGAGTGTGACTTGGAGAAACGTGATCAGATCGGACCAGCATTAGGCAATGCATCAACTGTTATATGCTGCANTGGTAGAATTTGTTTTAAGTGTATTTTGTTCCTTCTCTCTCTACAAAAAAGTGGCAAATTTTCAAATTTTTTTAAAACTAATTTTGAACTTAATTCTTGTGAAATTATTAGCNCGGTAGAATTTGTTTTAAGTGTATTTTGTTCCTTCTCTCTCTACAAAAAAGTGGTAAATTTTCAAATTTTTTTAAAACTAATTTTGAACTTAATTCTTGTGAAATTATTAGCNGAAGCTTGACATTGTGGAGTGTGACTTGGAGAAACGTGATCAGATCGGACCAGCATTAGGCAATGCATCAACTGTTATATGCTGCATTGGTGCCAGTGAGAAGGAGGCATTTGATATTACTGGACCCTACCGAATCGATTATCAGGCCGCGATAAACCTTATTGATGCAGGTAAAGTAGTTTTTTGCTTGGAGATGCCTGCTTTCTCATTTTGGCTGGGCACGTGGTTGCTATATTTTCCATGACAAAGCCACCGTGATTTTCCAAAGTCATGTTAATATCCTCAAATCTAGGTTTTGGATGAACTGAGAAAAGAAAGTAAAATTAGTCTCAACCAGGAAGAATCCATATAAACCAATTTTCCAAATATTGTCTTGACTTTATGGGCTATTTTTCAAGTGTGCAACTAAATCCTTTAATTGTACGGAATCAAATGCTAGAAAATGCATTTCTAATCGATAATGCTATTAAGAAGTTCGATATCAGTGTTGCAATTATTCCTCTGATTGGATCGTGATTGGATTGTTGGCAAAAGCAAAATTTTGTAACGGATTAGGGCATCTAGCAACTGAGAAAGATCAAGTTACCCAAATCTTGTAGTTTTTATTCAGTTTCATGGCCTGGAAAGTAATAGAAACACTACTACTGGAGAACAAAGGAAAGGAAAAAATGAAGGTTTTTTCTCATCATGACAGATTTTGCATTAAATCCTGCACAAGCAATATATTCACCAGGCTGGTTGTCCCTAAATTCCTTGAATATATGCTATCTAGGACCTGGAAGCATACTTTCCGTGTAAATAGCCTGCGGATTCGGATAATTGGATGGTTGAGCTCTGGCTATAAATTTTAACTCTGCCCTGGGCTTGTAGCAATCTGAAACGCTGAACTTAGGCATGGGCAAGCAAGAACTTCATCATCATCATCATCATCCTTTTTTTATTCTTCGTCATGAGAAAATGAGTTTGTACATTGTTTTTCTATTTTATTAATTGGGAGAGAAAGCGAATGTAGTGTCAATTACTATTTCTTATTAAGGATAAAATTTCTTTGATTCTGAACTATGAAACTGTTTGTCTTTAAGCTTAATATGATTCATTTTTAATAGTTTTCTAAACATGCAGCCACCATTGCAAAAGTTAACCACTTTATTTTGCTTACATCATTGGGAACAAACAAGATTGGATTTCCTGCAGCTATTTTAAAGTAAGTCTTAAGAGTTTTTTTGATTTGTTTGACAAGAGGGAGTTAACGAAAAAGGTTAGCTTTTTTGATTTTCGGTTGCTACATTTATTGACTGTCTGTTGCTTGGTTCTATAGCTTGTTTTGGGGAGTCCTGATTTGGAAAAGGAAGGCAGAAGAAGCACTGCTTGCCAGTGATATTCCTTACACAGTGAGTGCTTCTTGGCTTTGCCATAGCAAGAGAGGGAGAATGGGCGTTTAAAATGTGTGTGAACAGGTTTTCTGTTACTCTTGTTTGTGATATTTTAGATAGTGAGACCTGGAGGGATGGAGCGGCCAACTGATTCTTACAAGGAAACTCATAATATCACACTTTCACAGGAAGATACTTTATTTGGTGGCCAAGTTTCAAACCTTCAGGTTTTCTTCATGCTGATGTTTTATTTTCATATAGGATATTCTTCGACCTGTTTTAGCATTCTTTCATTTTGGGTTGTCTGGGACTCTACAATTCTGGGTTAAGTAATAGATAACTTTATATTCTAATGATCCTATTGGCTGTGGAGTTCTAGAATGATGATAACAGATGAATTGACAATATTTTTTCAGGTTTGAAAATTTCATGGACATTTTCCCCAACTACCTTGGGGAGAGAATTGTATTTCTGTATATTGAATGTAATATGGTTGATTATGATACACTGTGTATTTAGCTAGTAGCTGGTAAGATTCCAACAGAGTCGGGATTGATTACATATATAACCAGTATATGGAATTTATACTTCTGCTTCAATTTCGTGTATTGTGTTGATGATTTCATATCACGAGGGATGAGGCTTTCCTATTTTGTTGATGGATTTAAGAGGGCTGAAATTTATTTGGCAGGAACTAAAATAAATTTTGCTGATTAATTTCAGGTGGCAGAACTTATGGCATTTATGGCAAGAAACCGTGGCCTTTCACATTGTAAAGTGGTTGAAGTAATTGCAGAAACAACGGCACCACTATCTCCCATGGCGGAGCTTCTTGAAAGGATCCCATCCCAACGAGTTGATCCCTATCCATTTAAGAAGGTAGTTTCCAAGACAAACTTCCAAACGGACTAACTCCACAACTTTCTATCATGAATGTTTGAATATATCCATAGTCCTATATTGATATAGTAGATAGTGTAAAAGAAAAAAATGACATATTTTGTCTAGTTAGGGAACCCTCATAGAACCCTCTTATAATTGCCCTGCTTCTTGTTTTCTTCTTCGGTAATGACCCACGTTGCACTTTTCCCACATTTAATTTAATATCTTAAAATGGATGCCTAATGCACAAGGCTCCTGCCTTGGCGGGTTCTAAAGAGGTTCAGATGGATGCACCCTTACCTCCACATGTGGAGCTGTTTCGGCGACTCGAACCTTGACAACCTGGTCACAATGAATCACCATTATCACTATGCCAAGGTCATCCCTCATTTACTTTACCATCTGTAAACCATAAATTAGAAACACCAACTGTATACTACAATAAACTAGTTATTGGAACTGACATTCTTCTTACTTGGTTCCTTTTTCTACTTTGATGAGACAAAGTACAAGGCCTTAGCAAATCATTGTCGCCTCCATGCTAGCCGTGCCTTTATTATTTATACTGGATCAAGGTAGATATGAAGGCTGAAGAGAATGGAAAAGCAAACATATTTATGTGTTCTTAGTTTGTAACTAAAAACATGAAATTGCTGTAGTCACTAAATAGAATGTTAGAATTTTAAATAGGGACAATAGAAACAATCTACTGTGAAAAGGAGGAAGAATTCTATAATAAGGGGAAATTTAATAATGTAACTTGTTCCTTTTTGTTTAAAGAAGTGGGATAAGCGGACCATTCAAGAGAAAGGTGGAGATTTGTGGCAGAATTTCCTTCAGCTATTAAAGTTGAGAGTCAGAATGTGCTTTGTCCAACATCAAAGTTAAGGACAGGAAATAATTAGAAGTGATGCTTGAACTGAAAAATGTAGGTAGCTTAATCAAATAATGAAGTCCAACTGCAAATAGCAAAGAGAAACATGGGTATTGTAGCACAAAATATAAGCTGGTAGAATTTGTTTTAAGTGTATTTTGTTCCTTCTCTCTCTACAAAAAAGTGGCAAATTTTCAAATTTTTTTAAAACTAATTTTGAACTTAATTCTTGTGAAATTATTAGCATTTAGTTGTTTCATGGCGAGTCTATTAAATTTTATTTGTCTGCTTCTGACTTCTGAAGAAAACAGTGGCTTGTGTATCACTTCAGTGGAAATGCATGGAAGAAAATATATCGTGTTTATAAGCTGGATCATTTAGGACTATAAGTTTAAGATGTATATTATATGTTTATTTTCACTATACCGGTCAAACTGGTCTCCACACCTCAGTCATGGACTCTTCTTTGGAGTGATATCAGGAAGGTGCTGCAGACAAACATGAGCCTGCACTTTCTAAGACTACAACTTCTGAGAGTGCGAGTACGTCCATTGATAAAGAGCCTACCCAAGAAAAAGCACCGGTGACAAGGCCGCTCTCTCCATATGCTGCGTGAGCTCTCTTGGTTTTTATGCCTGGAGTTATAATATGCTTCTTTATAAAATTGACCCATTTTTGATTCCCATTGTTCAAAGCTATGAAGATTTGAAGCCACCTACATCTCCTACTCCAACGCCAAGCACTGCTGTTGGTGCTATTGAAGCAAGCAGTGTGGAGAAGATTCCAAAAGCAACTAACTCTACCCCTTCCACTATTCAAATTAGTTCTCCAGAAACCTCAAGCACTGCCATTGAGAAGGAAGGTATCCAGACAGAAGGGAAGAAACCAAGTCCTTTGTCACCTTACATAAAGTAAGCTCATTTAACCTATACTTACGCTCAGAGCTCTTAACAAATTGTCTAGGATTGCAAAAAGGTAAGTCAAGTGTGCTATGGCCACTTTAAGGGATGTGTGTATGGGTTTATAAATATATATATGAATGGACTAATAATTGTCAAAAACAGAGTATGGAGTAGTAGTAATACACAGTTGAGTGTAGGAATATTCCTTCATTGATATTTCAGATGCTAATATGCCAATTTGTTTTAACAGTTACAATTATATTCTGAAAGGATGCCATTCACTATTTGAATGCATGTCTGTGTGTAGCATGCGTGTGTGCGCAAGAGAGAGAGCAATTAGTGGGATGATATTGCATAGCTGGTAGCCTGGTAGTGGAAATGTATAGTAGTAGTAAATTGGCAAAAGAAAGATGGACAACACAAGGGCCCTGGCTTGACATAATAGTATAGATTCTCCCTTTGTGTACTCGGCATCTCAGAGTCCTACCTTTCTATGAACTTAATTTGTGTGTCAGTGCTATGTCATTTGCATGATCAATGTCCTTCACATGTAAAATCAGTTCAATAATAAATAGAAATGTGGTGATATAAGAAACTCTATGATGCCATTGATTTGATATGTCAGGAAACAAATTAACTCAATTAAGCTCTGCAATTATCAAAAAAACAGCAGTCATTTTTTATGTATGTAAAACTCAAGACTGATTTTATCTGGATAATCTAAACTTTTCCATTAGGATCTGAAACCACCTTTATCCCCATAAACCATTTCGTGTTTTTTCCTGACTCATATAAAGGATAGTTAATAGTTTCTTTGTAAACTGCTTTCATGTTGTCAGTTACGAGGATTTGAAGCCTCCTAGATCTCCAAGTCCAACACCAAGTGGTCCCAAGGTGATACCTGTTAGTACCTCAACACCAACAGAAGTTGCAACGCAAATTACAGGAGGCAATGATGTAGCAAAATTAGGGATTGACCCACAATGGGCAACGTTGCTTTGCTTCATTTGTTTCATTTCACATTTTGCAATCGAGTGTTGGTTTTCCATAGTTGGTTTCTTAGTATGATCCTTAGAACAAGGGACCTAGACAAGTATCTGCTTACCCCAGCGAAGGGAGATGCAGATGGTTACAAGTTACAACAAAGCATTGTTTTTTGGCCTGATTTTGTGGATGATAATGACGCATGATGAGCTTCTCATGTTTCTTTTCAGATTTAACGCAATTGGTGCACATTCTTTGTTTGAAGTTGTAACAAATATATTTTGTGAAGTCATGGAAACACTGAGCTACTTTGCAATACATCATTGTACTTCTAGTGTTTTAGTTTGACAACACTTTCTCAGACTCCATTCATCTGCATATTTCCTCTTCTCAGATACAATGACCTCAAGTCCTCTACATCACCCATGCCCAATGCACCATCCATGTCGCTTCCGTCAACATCTCCAATTGATGGCACGCCTCAGATGGCTACCATATCAGGGATACGCGCAACTCAGACTCAAACTGCAGAGAAATCAGAGCGAACAGAGGAGCGTATTGAATCAAAACCAAAGCCACTTTCCCCGTTTACCATGTAAGTCTTCTGTTCTGCCCCCCTCCTTTTTCTTTTAGTTTTTCATTGGATCAGTTTTCAGTGAGAGTAGATATTGGTGACTAGTGACATCATCATGCTGTTGTGGAATTCTTACCTGGGAAATGGAAACCAAAACTAGCTCCATTTATCCNTCCTTTTTCTTTTAGTTTTTCATTGGATCAGTTTTCAGTGAGAGTAGATATTGGTGACTAGTGACATCATTATGCTGTTGTGGAATTCTTACCTGGGAAATGGAAACCAAAACTAGCTCCATTTATCCCCTTGCAACCTAAAAAAGTTTGACTACTTCTGGATTTCCTCCGACCCGTTTCTAATTTTATGTATCCAGCTGCTTGAATATATAGATACCAAGAATCATGAACCTCTGTCTATCCTTTTTTTTTTTTGTAATTTCTTTCATTTTCCAATGCACAGGTACGAAGACTTGAAGCCTCCAACCACTCCTACTCCATCTCCTAGGAAATTGTGAAAAATGACAAAAAATTGTCAATGAATTACAGTAAGGCGTAAATCCAAAATCTTTCTGGCACGTCTTCAACGATGGAATACAGGTACCCCTCTCAGTCTGAGGCCAAAACCTTCTTGGCGAGAGTACCCGAGGCTACACATCTGTACAAGAGCAACTAAAGTAATTTCACTTATGCGGCATGTTTAGTTGTAAAGCATGAAGAGGCGAACAGTGGAGGTTGCAGGAATGTGTTCTATGTACCATTTTCTTTTCTTTGTTAATGTTTTCTGAATATAATGTTGATTGATTTGGGTCCAAACCATTTAATTTCTGGCTATCACCATTCTAGCCTCAATCCATGGACCGATAATTATATGATGTTTCATTTAAGGTTCCAGAGAAATATTTAGTTTCACCCTATAGTTTTGATTAATTTATATCCTGCCCTGCCTACTATGTTTTTGATTGCCTTAATTCTAAATTTTGTTTGGTGGAATGAGTACCTTTTTAGGATTTATTTTTACTACAGGGTGTTCAAGTTTGCGTTGGCTATTCTCTCGAGCTTAACGGCGGCCACCTGTTTAAGCTAGGTGAGAGTATGTTTTTGAAAGAATAAGGGTGGTTGGACTTTAGAGGTTGTGCAAAATGATTGAACTCGAAATCTCATATTACTAGAGATCAGATTCAACTATTGAATTACCCTTAAGGGTTTCTTTCTACGATTTGCAAAGAGAGTAGGGAACTAGAAAATAAAGACACATTTGTCCATTTTTTTTAATTTTTTTTATCAGACATTTTGTTTAATTCAATTAACAGGTTTGAACATCATCTAGACTACATTATAATTTAAGGTTGAGGCCCCCCAAGTTATTATTAATTTTTTTTTCACATACAACGTTTATGAAACCGCAAAAATCAAAACTTTAACTATGATACAGGTTTAGAACTTTTCATTTGGATTTTTCAAGAATTTTGTAGGATAGACAATAAGTACGATGCTTTAAATCTTCGAGCCAAAACTTGTTAGGTTTTGAGTCAAGATAAAGATATNTTCACAGCCAACTTATCTCTCATACTTGAAACATTGGTTGCACCAGCTCCTAGACCAATCACTCCATCTGTGTTTGCTCCTACAGCAGTCACTCCACTTTGACCCTGTTCTTGCGCCTTCCTTGTTGGCTCTCTCCAACATTGATATGATTGGTTTGTTTCTAACTCCAAGTATGTAAGCATTAAAGCACTCCTACATATTGTTAAGTAAAATGTCACATTTAGGATGTGTGCTAANAAAAACGTTAGATGTGTGTTAGGTGAGTTTCACACGAGGACATTTATAATTATTAAATAAGATTCGTGTTCGGATTGGTGGCTATGCTTCTGTTCCAAAAAAAAAACTGATATTTTGATCTAAGGGTAAAAGTCAGCTAATAATAATGATCGAATACCATCATAGCAGAGTGGATGACGACGTCGTTTTCCAATATGGGAGGGTTTAGGGTTCTCTGTTTCAAGTCCCCATCAGCACCAAGAAAGAAGCCATGAAAATGGATCCAACTCTAGAGAGAACGAACGACGTCGCCCCATCCACTGCTTTGGCATACCTCGACCCTCGCTACTGGTGAGTAGTTCAAAATGAGATTAAAAAGTTTCTCTTGTTTTCTTTCTATTTCCTCTGTTTTCTCGTCAACCAAACGGCAATTTTTTTTGTAATGTAAGGGATGAGAGATTTGCTCAGGAAGAGCATTACGAATGGTTCAAGGACTACTCTCATTTCCGTCATCTCATTCTTCAGCATATGAAGCCCAGTTCTTCGGTACGCTTCTATCTCAAAATTTCTTAAGTTTGTTCTTCTTCATTAGAAAATTTTTGATTAATTGAATAATGTCATAAGATGAAATTGATTTTTGTTTTTTTTTTTAACCACTGAGATGTAGGTATTGGAGCTGGGATGTGGAAATTCACAGCTATGCGATAATTTGTATGAAGATGGAATTACTGGGCTGACATGCATTGATTTGTCCGCTGTTGCGGTCGAGAAGATGAAGAAAAGGTTACTATCGAAGGGATACGAAGGTATGTAGTATTTACTTACCAATTTGATTGTGTGATTACATAAATAGTTCTTCATGCCATGATTGACTGTTTTCAATTTAGGTTATTTATCAATATATGATCTTTCAGAAGCCGAAGTCTGTAAGTGATTATCAAATAAGGTTATGTATCAATATGTGATCTTTCAGAAGCCTATAACTGATTATATGCTTAACAAACATCAGCGAGTAGGATTACCCTGATGAGTAAATCATACTAAATTACGTAGCGGGGTCACCGGGATGTATTACATAGAGCGTGCCTCTAGGAAAGATTAAAGTAGCAATGTTCGGGGTGTAGTCCTTACCGTCAAACATCTTGCGGTGTGAAGGGAATTTTTTTGATTAATATTTTGGTGCATGGTGCAGCTAACTAGAAAATGATGGTTTTCAAATTAGTTCCTTGATTAGCGGTGACGGAAATGCAAGATTTTGAAGTAGAGACTTCTTTTATCTGTACTCAATTACGCACATTCATATCTTTGCATATTTTGAACTTTAATAACCAGAGTCAATGTATGTTTTGGAAGAGGAATGCTGATTATTTTTTGGCATTTTCATGTCGGTGTTTGGAACAATAAAGTAATTTTTTCCATTTCACATGTATAAGTAGTGGATAAAAGATACAAGGACATAAGATAGAGAAAAGTAGAAATACCAAAAGTAACATACAAGGATGGAGTTTGAAGAGGTAGGTTGTGAAGTAAGTACCACCTTCAATGAAAATGCGGAAGCAAGTCCAGCTTGTTTGTTTGACGAAGTAGAAATTAAACTAAATTGTGTCTTTAAGAAAAGTTACAGATGGGGAAAATAATGTGAGATGGATTAGCAAGAATGCATTCCTGGATGGCCATTCCAAATGGGGGGGGCCTAGTTTTCACCTATCTTTGCTGGTGACTGGAATTCTTGCAGAAACCAAATTCGTTAAAATTCCTTTGTTTTTTGTCACCTCTTCATCAGAAATTGAAGTGCTGGAAGCTGACATGCTAGACCTTCCCTTCAGTGATGAATGTTTTGACGTGGTTATAGAGAAAGGAACCATGGTAAACTTACAATTTGTCATTTTTCTTTAGCACTGTGATATTTTATAGACTGGTCTAATTTGTCACGTATCATCTATCATTTAGTCGTTAACTTGAGTCAAGTTTTTCCATTTTTTTTTGGCATTTGAAGGACGTATTGTTCGTGGACAGTGGTGACCCATGGAATCCACAACCTGAAACGGTAAACAAGGTGAATAGAATGCTTCAAGGTGTTCATAGGGTTTTGAAACCAAATGGCATTTTTATCTCGATCACTTTTGGCCAGGTAGTGGAGACAAACTACATGATCCTTCTTTTTTTCCTCCCATTTTCTGATCCATTTTATCCCTTGTTTTTATTTTCTTCCCCAAAAGTCATGCTATTGTTGTTATCTGTTGATTCTTGTATCCTACAGCCCCACTTTAGGTGTCCATTATTTGATGCTCGAGAATTTTCCTGGTCTGTTGAGTGGAGTACATTTGGCGATGGATTTCACTATTTTGTCTATTTGTTGAAGAAGGTGAGTCCTGAAAATTGGCACAAAGTTTGCAATTTGGACCATCAGTAAGTTTCACTTATCAATGGAAAACAACGTGTTTAATCTAACAAAACATTTGGAAGGAGACTACATCATGTGCAGAAACTTTAACCGAATACATGAAAAAATATCATTCCAACTTTCGGAGAATTTCTGCTGATACATACGTCAGCCATGATGATTACAATTTGAAATGCGATATGGAATGACTCAACTCAACAAAGCTTTATGGTGTAATATTTTCCTGTTCTTCCGTTCTGTTTTATGCTTCTGCGTGGTGGATGACATTTGAAATGTGAATATTTTCCAGGGACAGAGATCATCAGACAGTAGTGGGAACGCACAGAAGGTTGACATGCCTTCTATTTCCCTTTTTCATGATGAATTAGAGGATGAAGACTATATTTTTCGGACCAACATTGATGAGATGGAATGTCTCAACTGAAATTTAAACTGTATATACTTTCTTCTTACTCTTGTAACCTTCATTTACTTTACGCTGATGCACTACTGTATTTGGAGTTCAATATAATCAGCATACATCCCTGCCCATATCCTAGTTTTGCTTAGATGTTGCCCTCCCTCCTCCATTGTGGTGATGCACTGTAACTCAGATAAGGTCCTTGATTGGAGGTTAATTTTCTAACTTCTACAAATAATAGTAGAATGAGATGATGGAACCAGGGCCGGAGCTAGGAGATGGACTAGGGTGCCGAGGTGCCCCTGTCACCTCGGCCCAAAGATTTCGGAATTTGAAATTTTCACCACTGATTGTTTGCAATTTTTCATTTGGCATTCCTAAAGTTTAAATATTTTCTGTCATAGTTTTTTAGGGGGATTTACACTTGGACTCATTGAGGTTTATTACATAATTACTTAAATTTCTTGATATTTGAAATATTATACACAGACTTACTGAAGTTTGTACGCATGTATCACTTAGAATATCCATTGGTAAATTATACACAGGCTCCCTGAAATTTATAGGTATATAATACTTAAACCCTTAAAATTTAAAATGTTATACTTCGACAAAAAATATTTTAATCAAAGATAGAATATTAAATATTTTAAATTTTACAATCAAAATTTATATTCTGTTGTATCATTTATTGAAATAAAATAAAAAAAAATAAAAAGTCAATTTTTCTTAAAACATCGTAATTAGTATATAATTATATTATTTATTGGAATAAAATTAAAAAAATCAAACAAGGGGTCTAAATCATTCATAATAGAACATGAATTTTGGCTATAAATTCATGTTCTGTATCATTTATTGAAATAAAATTAAAAATAAAAATTTAATTTTTTCTTAAAAATTTATAATTAATATACAATTATACTATCTATTGAAATACAACTAAACAATCAAATAAAAAGTTAAACTGTAATTAACACAATATATTCTAGCGTTAATTGGGGTAATTTGGTCTTTTAAACGATTAAATTAAATTTCAATAGATAATATAATTGTATATTAATTATGATTTTTTTAAAAAAATTAGATTTTTAATTTTAATTTTATTTCAATAAATATCATAATAAGAATATAAATTTTAATTATAAAATTTAAAATATTTGATATTCTATTTTTATTTGGTGTATTTTTGGTTTAAATAATACATTTTAAATTTGAGGAATTTAGGTGTTATATGCTTACAAATTTTAGGGACTTTGATTATAATTTATTAACTGACACACTAACAGATATTGACAATAAGAATTTAAGTGTTGACAATAAAGATTTAAGTGTTACGCACGTGCAAATCATATAAGCAATTAAGTTTGGCGGTGGTTGAAACAAGCGTGGATAAGGAAAAAATAAAATTATTAAATAAACATCGTGTAAAAATGATATCAAAACGTTATACAAGTAACATGCCACTTAGATTTTTAACCAGCAAAACGTCGTCGTTAACCTTATCATTTCCCAATCACTCCTTCCACTGAGATTTTTAACCAAAAAAACGACGTCGTAACAATAAGATTTTACTCCTATTCACAGCTATTCTGAGCACACAAAAGGCACAGAACAACCCCTCTCTCTCTCTCTCTCTCTCTTTCTCATTACTCCCTCGTAGTCGTAGCTTGCGCTTCTCGCCTAAGCTATTTTCTCTCTCCTCTCGCCGGCATCGGATACGATCTCGCCGTGAAACATCGCTCTCTTGTCTGATCGCTGAAATCGATCGATTCACCTTTTTTAGACTACGATCGGTCGATCATTGCATATTAGATGTGTTAATTTATGCATGTTAATCTTGATATTTTTCGATGGAGGATGGTGTGGGCAGTGAAGAAGATTATTATGATTCTGATCGAGAGTCGCTCGACGGACTTGAGAATGAAGAGTCTGATCCTCAGTGGGTCCCTGCCAAGGGTCCTTCCTGCAAGGTATGATATCTTTATATATTTGTTCACATACATGCATGTATATTACGATTTTTCAATCACAAATTATTCTTTGTTGATTGTGACGTTTCTTGGTTGAATTATTTCTCTATCTTTATTTTCATACATAGTGAGTGGGAGCTGGGGAATTTTAGTGGATAGAGTGGGTTAATTTATGTGGGTTATGTAGATTTTTTTGGTTTGGGGATGATTGAGTTGTCGATTTTAGGGTCTTAGTGATTGACTTGTTGGCTGTTTGTGTGGAATACTATTTCTTTATGAAGGGGAATAGCTGTTAAACACAATTAACGCTTTCTATGAATGAAAATGCTTTGTTTGTGCTCGGAATCGTTACTCTTTGATATTTTAATAAAACAGGCTTAGAATAAATTTTTTTTGATAGGAAACAGAAATGTCATTAAAAATATAGAACAAAATTACAAAAGAAAATCTATGGTGGACTAGTAGTCCAAACCCAACGAAAAAAGAAAAACCACTAGCCCAGAAAGCAAAACTACATTTCACATGATGCTGTCTAGCTTGAGGTTATGCAAAGAAGAGGAATATCCTTAAATTTCTTACACACGGAAGCCCAAAAAGATGTCAAGAAATGAATCTGCTCACAAAGACCTTTAATCGTATCAATTTTATCTTCAAAAATCCGCACATTCCTTCTTTCCAAATTGCCCAAATGGTAGCAAAAAAAACACAAGCCCAAAGAGTCCTCCACCTTTTATTATGTCTCTTTCCCATAACATCCAAGCATATCATTGATCTTGTATTTCTCGGCACTACCCAACAAAGGCCAGTAAAATTAAACAACATTTTTCATATTGAAAGCGCAATGGGACAGTGTACAAAAAAAATATGATCCACACTTTCACTATCTCCCTTACACATTAAACACCATTGCGGTTGAAGACAAAGCTGAGGGTCTCTTCCTTTGAAGCACATCATAAGTGTTAATTTTACCATGTGCAATTATCCACACACATATTTGCACCTTTAATGGCACTCTAGCATCCCAAATCACTTTCGATGGAAGAAACAATGGAATATGGGGATCATAAATTAAATACTCAAAGAAGGATTTACATGAGAGAGCACCATTAGACTCAAGTGACCAACATCTTTTATCCAATCTATCATGGAATAATGAGACATTACCAAGCACAGAAAGATGACCACGAGTGTGCTTGATTTTTGAAGTGATGGTAATGTATGACTGTATTGGGTATTCTCTTAATAATTTACGAGAGACATGATTTTTTGTTACCCATGATTGTCCTTTTTGTAGGTAATCACGAAAGAATCTCTTTTGGCTGCCCAGGTACCTAAAAAAGCATATGATCTTTTCTATCACTGCTATTATTATCATTATTCTTATTATGTGCTTTTAGAAATATGCATAGGTTCCGTTCACTGATGTTGAGATAATTTGCATTCAAATAGAGGGAAGATTTGCGCAGAGTTATGGACTTGCTATCACTTAGAGAACACCATGCACGGACTCTTTTAATTCATTATCGTTGGGACGTTGAGAAGGTGTTTGCGGTTCTTGTGGAGAAGGGGAAAGCTCGTTTGTTCGCTGAAGCAGGTGTATCTGTAGTTGAGAATCATGATGCTGACTCACCAGTGCTTTCTTCTACTGAAACATGTGATATCTGCATGGAGGATTTACCCAGTAGTGAGGTGACAAAAATGGATTGTGGCCATTGCTTCTGCAATAGTTGTAAGCACTATTACCTTGACTTTGGCTTTGTAAACATGATCCTAACTTACTTAGTATGTTTCTGAAGTTTCAGAAACATAGCACATTGGTTGGTTTAATGCAGACTTAGAAACATAGCTGGTTGGTGTTGACTCTGCGCTGGCCCTTAGTTATCATGATAAGGAAATTAAATCGATATATGTTCTGATACTCTCCTATGGGTTCCGAGATTTAACTATTCAATTTTTAAAACTTGCTGGTTAATGAGGCAATTTTTCAATGATGATGCCTACTTTAGCTATCATATGTGTGGTTTTATTTTGTGTGTCCCCAGTTGTTGAAAACATCTGTTCCATTATTTGCTATCTCTTTGTAAATGTTTGGGTTTTATTTATTACATTTTTTTTCATTTTTTCAGGTTGGACAGAGCATTTTATTGTGAAGATTAATGAGGGTCAAAGTAAGCGTATCAGGTGTATGGCATACAAATGCTTTGCTATTTGTGATGAAGGCATCATTAGAACCCTAGTTAGTAAAAGGCATCCTGATCTAGCAGAGAAATTTGATCGATTTCTACTCGAGTCTTATATTGAAGACAATAAAATGGTTAAATGGTGCCCAAGTACCCCTCACTGTGGGAGTGCGATACGTGTTGAGAATGATGAATTTTGTGAGGTAGAATGTTCATGTGGTTTCCAGTTCTGTTTCAGTTGCTTATCAGAAGCACACTCCCCTTGTTCATGTTTGATGTGGGAGTTGTGGATCAAGAAATGTCGAGATGAATCAGAAACTGTTAACTGGATTACAGTGCACACGAAGCCTTGTCCAAAGTGTCATAAACCAGTTGAGAAGAATGGTGGCTGCAACCTTGTGAGCTGCATCTGTGGACAAGCATTTTGGTAGGGTTAAAATTTTATCCTAATTGCCTTTGTTTCATTTCTGCAATGCGAAAAATTGTGATCCACTGCCAACAAAGCTGATGTGTGTTGTTAGTGGAACGGGCTCCTATTCTATCGTGCTCTGAGTACCTTGGGCCTTACATAGTTCAAAATGGTCAGCTGATTTTACTTTTCAGATTCATTTTGTTAGTTTTCTCTCTAGTAATTCCCCCCCTTTTCTGGTTCCATCCTTTTTTTTTGTTTT